AATCTGTATCTCCATGGCTCCAGGTACCTTCAGGAGGCCCTTCAAACTCAGTGTGCCCAGTGGGGAGCTCATTATCTTCCTCCCTAATCTGCTCTTGCTAATCTGCTAAATGGAGCCACCAAGCAGCTGGTCACCCAAGTCAGATTACCCTGAAATCATTTGGGGCCATCCCCATTTCCTCCTCACTGCTTATATCCAATTAACCTTGTAGTTTCTACCTCTTGAAAATCTCTTGAATCCATTTCTCTTTCCCATCTCCATTGCTGTTGCCTAGGGTCAGGTCCCCCTCTTATCTTGTCTGGGCTACTAGAATTGCCTCGTTGGTTTCCTTACTACCAATCTTGCCTTCCTCCAACCATCTGCACAAAGTTCAAGTTCATTTGGTTCAGCAAAGTGGTCTTTCTAAAACCCAAATACAATCACTTTATCTCCTTGCTTTGAACCCTTCTACTATTCTAAGAATAGTATACTTCCAAGTGTACTTCAGTGCCTGTCTGTCTCTCCAACACCACCTTTCAGCTCCTCCACCAGCCCTCTTCACTCTGCACTCCCTGGGTGTGCTGCCATGCTGCTCACAGTTCCCTGAAATGCCAGGCAATTTTATCTCAGGATCTTGCTCATATTGTTCCCTGTGCCAGGAACAATCTCCTGCCTTCCCTTGCCCCATACAAGCCTGTCTATCTAGGAAACATTCTTTGATCTTCCAAGAGTCAGCTGTATCATGGCCTGTTCCTGAAACCCTTTCCGCCTCCGCAGCTTGTCCTTACAGATTTGAGTCATCCATGCCCTCCTAACTGCCCTCACTGACCCTTTACAGGTGCATGCTATAGCATATATCACACATTGTTGCTTTATTTTTTATTTTTTATCCTCACCCGAGGACATTTTTCGATATTTTGTTCAGATAGAGTGAGTGGGAGAGAGAGAGAGAGAAACATCGACGTGAAAGCGACACATCGAGTGGTTGCCACCCACACGACCCAACCAGGGCTGGGGACAAACTGCAACCAAGGTACGTGCCCTTAGCGGGAACCGAACCCGGGTCTCTCCGGACCGCAGGCCGACGCTCTAACCGCTGAGCCAAACCGGCCAGGGCACACATTGTTGCTTTTAAAAAAAAATCCTAACCTGAGGATATGTTCACTCACTTTTAAAGATAGGATGGGAGGGGGAGAGAGAGAGAGAAAAACATCAACATGAGAGAGAAACATTGATCAGTTGCCTCTTGTACATGTCCCAACAGGACAGACCCACAACCCAGGTATGTACCCTGACCAGGAATCGAACCAGCAACCCTTTGGTGTATGGGACTACACTCCAACCAACTGAGCTACACCTGTGGCCAGAGCAACACATTGTTGCTTTTTTTCATGGTTGTTTTATTAGACTGTGAGTTCCATGAGGGCAAGAACTTATCTATGTTCATATGTTGTGCCTGGGATATTGTAGGTGTTTAATAAGTGCTTGTAGAATGGATGACTGAAGATGAACTATTGCCTTCTTGGGATTAATGACCCTGCTCCTTTCTCACCAAGGCAAACTGTGCCGAATCCCCCAGGAGGTGTGGTGTCTTGATGTGCTGCAAGCAAGATGGCAGCTGTGACACCAGGTGGTCTAGTCAGTGGAGCCTGGGGAGTAAGATTATTTTCCCTGGAAAAGGGAATCCTGGCAGCTCTGGGGAATCTCATGACAAAGGGACAGCAGAGCTGACGAGGAGTTCATAGGCTGTGATATGGGTCCAGCCCTAAGATTAAAGAGGCTTACAGAAATGGACACTTTGCTGAGGCCTTCAGGGATGGTAAGAGAGGCAGCAGGGGGCACAGGTAGATTGGTCAAACTGTCCCCATGCAGCTTGGGACCTAAAGGGCAGGGTAGACACATCACCTAGAAAAGCTCTGACTTGAGCAGATGCCTCAAACTCTCAGGAATAGGGTGTGAAGGATATAACTACCTCCCTCCCCCACCCCATCAGTCTAATTTCCCACCTTCAGCTGGTTCTTGAAAATCAGTCCCTGAAAACCATGAGACGCTTCAATGCTGAAGAAGTACAGGACCAGCAGGCTGTGGCTTCAACACTTAATTATATGTGAGCCTGGGCAAGTCACTTACCTTGCTTAGGTCTCAATTGCCTCACCCGTAAATTGAACACACCCTGACATGCCTCAACCACTTCACAGGATTGTAGTAAAGGTCATATCATCATAATAAGAATAGCTATACTTTTTATATCACTTCCTATGCATCAGAGACTATGCTAAGTGCTTTACATACAATATCGTTAGCCATCCTCACATCTCTATGATAGAGAACTGTTATCAGCTCCATTTTACAAATAAGTGATTGAGGTTTAGGGAGGTAAAATATTTTGCTGAAGTCAAATGCTAGCTAGTAAGTGGGCTGATTGAGGTGGCATTTGATCTGTGGGCCCAGCGGTCTGGTTCCCTGGGCTGTATATTCAGGTATATGGCTGACCTTGCAGTTCAGGAGTAAAGCCACCACAGGTCCCCTCTGGTAGCCAAAGTGGTAGCACTTATAAGGCTTAGGAAAGAATATTCCCAAATGCCTCAGCGATGCGCTCCTGAGGGGTCAGCATTCCCTTCCCAACCACAGGGGTTGGTGAATATATTGTGTTGAATAGTGTCCCCCCAAATTCATGTCCACCCAGAACCTATGAATAGGAAATAGGATATTTGCGTTTGTAATCAAGTTTAAATTACTTGAACTCATACTTGATTAGGGTGGGCCCTAATTCAGTGACTGGTGTCTTTTTTTTTTTTTTGGTACGTGCCCCTAGCGGGAACTGAACCCGGGACTCTCTGATCCACAGGCCAACGCTTCAACCGCTGAGCCAAACCAGCCAGGGCAGTGACTGGTGTCTTTATAAGAAGAAGAAATTTGGACAGAGATACACACACAGAGGGAAGATGACCACGTCAAGACGAAGGCAGAGATTGAAGTTATGCTTCCACAAGCCAAAGAACACCAAAGATTCCACCAAAACCCCAAAGAGACAAGGAATGATTATTCCCTAGAGCCTTCAGAGAGAACATGGGTCTGCTGACACCCTGGTTTCAGATTTCTAGTCTCCAGAGCTGTAAGAGAAAAAATTTCTGTTATTTTAAGCTACCCAGTTTGTGGTGTTATAGTAGTCCTAGAAAACTAACAGTCACCTAGTACTGTGCCCACCATAGCTGGCAGCCCTAGGGGGTGGGTGGAGCAGAGTTTGGGAGCCCAGTTTAATGAACCAGAGAAGGGAGGTGCCCATTGCGGGGGGGGGGGGGGGAAGGTGGAGTAAGGGAGAGCAGTATAAAAATAAGGTGTTTACTCATCTAGCTACACTGACCATTTGTAGACAGTGCCTCTGCATGACTTTGCACGTGTGTGTATCTGGGGAATGTATCTGCAGGCTTGTTTTTCTCTGGTGAGGATGACAATTTGCAAGGTGAGGACTCTAGTTGAGAAACTCCTCCTTTTACTCTTTAGTCACTGTCTTCGACCCTTGATCTCAGACAATAAAACTTACCCAAGTTTTCAGTTAAAAGAGAAGGAGAATTCAGATCCAGAAGCTTGCCTTTTTCACAATCTCAAGCTAAAGAAAGTGAACTCTTTTTAGAAAGATATAGGTGGTTTTATCTTTTATAGATGTTTTCCCTGAATTTGAAAGAAACACTTGTTTATTTGTAAAATATTTAGAAAATACTAAAATGCTCAAAGAAAAAAGAAAAAATTATTCTGGCAATAACTATTGATAATATTGGGTAATTTCCTTCTTTTCCATACGGATATATATTATCAATAAAATTAGAATAATATTATAAACAGCTGTTGTTTTTTAAATCCTTCCCCAGGATACATTTCCATTGATTTTAGAGAGAGAGAGAGAGAGATTGATCAGTTGCCTCCTGTATGCACTCTGACCAGGGATCAAACCCACAACCTAGGTATGTGCCCTGATTGGAATCAAACCCACAACCTTTTTGGTATATGGGATGACGAATCCAACAAACTGAGCCACCCAGCAGGGCAAGAGCTTTGTATTTTGCTTTTTCATTTAACATGATCTTATTCATCATTATTTTCATTCACTTAACATTTTCTCACTTCATTACTTTTTATAAACATAATTTTTAATTATTAAATAATACTCCATCATATGGATGGGCCATAATTTTTTGTTTTCTATCATTGCCCACTTAAGTTTCTAGCCTTTTACAATGGTAAACATGCAACAGTTAAAACTTTTCTTAAACATTTGTTCCCTATGATTTCTTGAAGACGGGGGATAATAACCAGGTCAATGAGTGTGAATATTTCAAGGCATTTGACACATAATGCCAAATCGTTTACAGGAGAGTTCTACCTACGAGCAGAACGCGAGTGCTCCACAAGCACCCTTACCCAGATTGAGTACTATCATGAAAAAGCCTGAGTATGTCCTGAAAAGGGGCATCCCGTCAGCGATCAGACAGGTTGCCGGCGCCCGGGGATTGCAGGGCGGAGACCAGTTAGCAGCCGGCTGCGCCGATCCCGCTGCGATGATGGGGCTAGAGGCTAGGCGGTAGGGATGCAGGAACCAGAAAACGCACGGGATTCGTCGGACAGTCGATGCGGAGGAGGGGGCCGGGCTGATAAGATAACCAGCCCTGAATGCGGTGCAGGGGAGGGCGGAAGCTGCGCGTTCTGCTCGACCTCCTTCGAGCCCCGCTCTTACCCATTGGTGAGGGGGGCCGAGGGGCGCACCCCTCCTACCCCTTTAACAGGGACACTCCCCTTTAAGGCGGGCGCCCGCGCGCACCCGGCCCCGCCCTTCGGGGGCGCGCGCGGCGGCCGCGGCGCCGGCTCCGCCGGGAGCGCACGTGCCGGCGCCGGGCGGAGGAGCGAGAGGCGGGAGCGGAGCCGCGGGAGGAGAGGAGGCGCCGGGGGCGCGCGCGCGCGCTGGGCGCTGCTGGGCTGCGGCGGCGGCGGCGGCGGTGGCGGCGGTGGCGGCGGCGGCGGCGGTGGTTACTATGGCGGAGTCGGCCGGAGCCTCCTCCTTCTTCCCCCTTGTCGTCCTCCTGCTCGCTGGCAGCGGCGGGTCCGGGCCCCGGGGAATCCAGGGTGAGTCCCGGGGCGGGGGCCGGGATGGAGAGGGCCGGGCGAGGGCGAGGCCTCGCGCCGCGGCGCCTGGGCTACAGCGCGCCCCTTCCCCACGCTCACAATATGGCCGGGCGGGGGGCGCGGTGGAGTCGGGGTGACCCCCGGTGGCTTCTCCCGACCCGGTAGGCTCAGCCGCCCAGCTGCGACCGAGCTTACGCCGGGCCCCTGGGGACTCGAGCTCTCTTCCAGGGGGAGCTGGATCCCGGGAGCTCTCGGGGGTCGTGCTCCCAGCACCCTCGTATTTCATAGATGGGGGTACGGGCTTCCTTCCAAACATGTGGAGATCATGTTTTTGCCCCTCCGCTCGTCCAGGGGCGGAGGTCTTCATTCCCTCCCTCCCGACGCTCCTGGGGGATGCCTTTTCTCCCGCCAAGATTGTGAGGCTGGGGCGGTAGGGTCTTTGCCTTCCGAGGTATCTTGATGCTGAGAGTCTTTGCGCATCTCAGATGGTAGGGGAAACCCGGGGTCTCTAACCTTTCCTTCAGATCCTGCACTTGGAGCGTCTTCTCCCCTCGCTTTCTTGCCCCCCTCATGTTCTGGGGAAGGGAGTCACATTTCCCCTTCACGCAGTCCCTTGAGTTCAGTGGGTCAAACCCCCCACCTCCAATACACATGCCTTGTGGAAGCTCTTTGGAGGAAGTGGGACGAACAGGCCCCTCAACCGTTTTGGAGTTTGCCTTTGGAATGAATCTCTCTAACCCTAGGAAACCTAGTTCCAGAATGGTTAATCTTCATCTAGGTGTATTTGCTTTCCGTCTCGCCTCCCCCACCCCACCCCAGGGGGCCCATTCAGTTGCTCACTTGGGGATGCCTTTCAGGTGAAATCCTAGAACCCGCCTCCAACCCCCAAGATTATTTAAAGATCCCACCACTGGACTGGCTCCCTGGCCTTTGGTCAATACTTATTTACCTTCCCACACCACCCTTCTTACCTGCCCCTCCCCACACACACTCCCCACCCTCACACATCCCTCACCTTCCAACCCCCACAGCCTTCTGCTCCCCTTACCACCTCACCCTTCCCATTGTAGAGGTGGGTACTTTTTTGTGGCACCCTTAACTGGGTGTGTTATTTATGAGGCTTTGTGGGGCTGAGAGGAGCAGATGAAATCCTAAAATATTTGATTTATGAGAGTTGTCTCCAATGTGTTTTGGCATTGGGGTAGCAGATGAAGGTTATATTTGGCAGTTATGTTGAAGTGATTATTGACCCACAGATGGATCTGGAAGAGACTATTAGGATTGTATATGCTCTGATGTACAAAGGCTGCTGCTTTGACTTCTCAGCCACCCCTAGCCTTCCAGCACTGAGAGATCAAGTGTGTGTTCTGGGGCTCTCCTCTCCACTAAAAATAATGGTTCTCAGGTGGGTTCAGGCTCCTTTAAGACACCAGACAATCAAGAAAAGACATCATCCCACTTTGGAGTCTCAAAAACAAGTTCATTATCTCCAGCTTTGATATTTGTTCCCAGTGGTGTAGCCTGTGCAGTAGGGTCTTTGTTCACTGGCTAGTACTTATGTTAAGCACCTCGTGTGTGTTCCTGGGTCTCACTGCGCTGTGCACGGTAATATGCCGTGGTTCTGATCAACAGTAAAGGTGTATAAATACAACCTGACATTTGTGGTAAGATCATGATTTTCCTGAATAGTGTTTGCTGGGCTTTATTGTGAGCCATGTTTTTGGAAAGTGTAACATAATGTTATTTCTCTACTGGGGTAGTAAATAAGGAGACTTAGCTTTCAGGTTTATCATTTGATATGTGTATGAATAAATCTTTAAATGCCTTACATAGGAATTTTGATCCTGTCCCTAGTGTATGCAAGATTTTTAACAGCCAATTCCCTGTTAATTTGGTGTAGTGTCTGTGGGACTTTCCTTGTTGTGATCTTAGTTAAGAATGTTTAATTGATAATCCAACTGGTTCTGAATGGGGCAGAGTTCCTTTTTTTTTTTTTTGTAACCTTCCTAAAATGGATGTTTGTTGGGGTGAGATGGGTGGTCATAATAAGGAATTAGTTTCTTTTTTTGGTAAATTGGAAATTAGGTTGTGTGTCCAGCAAGCATTCTCTAAGGCCTTTAAACTTCTTGGCCAGACACTACAGTTTTTTCCGGGACACATCTAGTTGCCAATAGTGCATGCTACAGAGACCACTGTTGCAAAAGGCTTAAAGTAAAACGTCAATTCTGGGAAAATAGAGCCTGATGATAACAAGAAGTTGATTGCTTTCCTCCCCTGCACTTCCTCTGTTGAGCTTCTCTAGGTGGGATGGGGGAGCCGCAGAGCCAGGCAGCCCTGATGCCTAGTACTTGGACATGTCAGGAAGGCAGCAAGGGATAGGTGTTTCTATTAATTAGTGAATTAACTTCAACTTAGTAAAAGGCCAGTGATAAGGAGAATGACTTCTAGCTTATAAACAATATCCATTTGATAGTTGTACCATGTTTTAAGGCTTTGCAATCTTCACATTAGTATTAAAAAATGTAAAATTGCATTAGTTAATAGCAGAAGACATTCATTTCCTAAGACAAAGCAACAAGAGTGACATGTGAGGTTCTGATAGGAATATTTTGAATTTCTGGGAACAGAATGAATCTCATTTCAGGCCAACTCTTGAAATTTTGTTCAGTAGACATGGTTTTGAAGTACAGTGAAAGTGAACACTGGTAGAAAAAAAAAGGGAATCTCATTAGTTTTGTTAAAAGAGCTCCTGGAACAGATGTGATTGAAACATAATAAAATGGCTACTCTGGTTAAAGGTTAGAGCCAGATGGAGGGAGAAGGCCCCAGAACTTTGTTTCCTTACAGGTTGTCCTTGAACAAGTCACTTAACCTTACTGTGACTGCCTCAGTTTTCCCTCAGTAAAGTAAGGAAACAACCTGTGTCATTCTTACTGAGACATTTGTGAGACTGACTTACTGATAGCCAGTTGGCTGGGAGGTATTTTTAGACACAGTTTCTGACTTAAGTGAACAAGCAAAGTTGGGTTACTTTTTATCTTATGGGGCAAAATAGCATACTGTCGGGATTGATAACAGCAGCACATGCCACAGTGTGGTTAATTTCTTCTTATTTGTGCATTTTCGTAGATGTGTCAGATTTCCTCAAGTTAATTTCTGTCTTCTGACAGGCGCTTACATCGTAGACCCAGCAGCATACCTGTGCTAATCAAAGACAGTCTGGAGGGAGTGACCTGCTTTAGGCTTTATTGGTTTGGCAGCGTTTTAATTCTTACGCAACTCTGGGTACGTTTATGGCACTATGTAAATGTTACATAAGAACATGGAGGCTGAGAGGTGGCCAGAATGGTGCCTGTGAACGCAGGAAGGTTAGGCTTCATACGAAAGGACCTTGGGAACCTGCAGTCAGTACAGGAAGAAGCAATACTTCATTTTCCTATAGAAACCTTTTTAGTTGATTGTGTCTTTCAGGTGGACTGCTGTGTTATAAATAGGTTTATTCTCCACTGGTGAGCTAATTGTAACCTTGCTACCAAAATATGAATCAGAAAATGAGGAGAGGAGATGTGCTGCTGCTTTCAGCATGTCCTGTTGAAGCCGCTTGTTGCATTTTGGAACATGAGTTGAATTGCATTGCAGTCTGTTCTCATTATAACTCAGGAGTACAGGGTGTTGAGGTGGAATGGAATTCTCAGTTCATGGGCTTTAGATCTTCACTTTTGAAGGTTAAATTAGAATGCTGAAGTGGCTCTTTTGTTTTAATTTTGAAATCCTTATTGTTTACTGCAGTTTTTGCTTAGAGCAGCAGTGAACATTAATTCTGGAATCCCACCTCTTTGTCTTGAATTCTTGTTATTTGTCTGTTAAGTAGGGGCTGACGTAAGGGGGTCTTATCTCATTTTCTTCTTTGTATTTATACAACAAAAATCCTCAAGTCCTCTCTGTCACCAGCCCCACTGCAGCTGGAAGTACTGCAGATATCCAAAGCCCATCAGTTTCACCTAGACTGGGATTGCTGAAACCTTTTAAGGAACCAGCTGCTCAGACCGGACAGGCCCCCACAGTCTAACTTGTGTGCTCTCTGCAGGCACTGCCTCCTGGCCAGGTTCAAATACCTGCTCTTGGTTTTTGCTCACCTCAGCTTCTCTCTCGCACATGATTTAACCTGAGCTTGGACTCAAGAGGCACCATCTTGGCCCTCCTCTTATCTCTGCCTGCTGGCTTCTCTATCATGGATAAATGTAGCGCCCTGCAAAACTACTAGTGCGGAGTGTATCTTACTCTGTAGAGTTAGTTGCCAGAATTTAGTTATGAAGTTTCAGTCCAGGTGATCTCACCTGTTCTCTGGGTTGTAGACAGTGCTACTTCATGCAGCTCTGGGGTTCTTTTTGGTTTTCTTCTCTCTTCACTTAGTCTTAAGCCTGCATTCGTCTTGCTAAATATTATGTTGAATTTAACATAATAAAAGTAACTGCCTTTCCCTTTACAGCATCAATAACCCCTAATATTTACACAATTACATATAGGAGAATTCTTTATTCCTTCAGTTGGGTATGTGCCTGGAATGGTTCTTGGCATAGGAAAATAACAGAGCACAAGATGAACAAAGATCCCTAAATCCCTGTCATGGAATTTACAATTGCAGTGGCTTAGACTGAAAATAAAGAAGTATACACAATTATCAATCATGAGTGCTGTGTAGAAAATAAACTAGGATGATGTGCTCAAGTGTGCCTGGAGCTGCCATTTTATGTCACTCTCGGCTTTATTCTTTCATCCGTAAAATGGGGCGACTCATTATTTGTGGTAGTTATATTCTATAAAGTCAGGTGGAACACTGAATTAGCCAATACTGAACCATGGCTCCTAGTGGAAATACAGGAGCCATGGTCACAGCATTTCATCATCTGATCAGTACCTAACCTTGTCTGTGTCTTTCTTTTTAGAGACATCTTGTTTAACATATATTGTTGATTATTTAACATTGAACTCAAGACCAA